ACCTTTCTTGCAAAACTTCTTATCATTACAAATTCAAACAACTTTTATGTCAGAATATAACAGCAAAATCTTATTTGCTCAAAATAAAACACACACACACTCACACACATACACAGACACCAGAATCCTCATCTAGGAGATAGGTGCTTCTAAATCCACTATTATATGAGCAAAGAATTTTGTACTTACTATCATCTTTACACAAAAATAGAATATTTGACAATTGGTTAACAACATACACTTGGGTTTATTTAACAGAGTCAATGTAGAGATTATTCTAATTACATTGTGTTTTACATATAAAACAACATGAGATAATTTTTATCCAGTGTAACTGCAATATAGGTAATGGCTCCTTTGTTGTGTGTCTTCTGGCTTCTACAACTGACTCCATATTCAGATTTTCTTTAGAAAAGAGCTTCTGGGGACACGTGTTTTACACAGTGGTTAAGACGCTGCTTGGGATGCCTGCATCCCCTAATGGAGTCCCCAGGTATTAGTTCTTGTTCTGTTCCCAATTCCAGCTTCCTGCCAGTGTGCACCCTGAGAGGCAGTGGGTGATGCCTCAAGTACTTGGGTCTCTGCCACTCACATGGAAGACCTGGACTGGGCTCTTGGCTTCAGCCTGGCCTATCTCTGTCAGATGTGGAGATGAGGGAGGCAAAGGGATGTGGAAGACCTCTCTGTCTCTGCTTTTCAAATAAATAAATAGATTAAAAATTTTAAAAATTAATCTTTTGAATAAACATTGGTAAAGTTACTCTCATTTAGATGCCTGGAAGAAAATTTCTCACAGCCTTGTGCAGACACACCCTCCTAACTGCAGTATTTGTAAAGCAACAGGAAACCTGTCTCAGAATGTGCCATTTTCCACATGAGTTTGCAGTGAAGGAAACCACGCTGGCAGTAGTTGAGGCATGGTACAGGCTGGTCAGACTTAGTAAGCCTGAAGGAGGGTGCCCAGCGCATCCGTGGATCTCCTGTGCTGCTGTTCGGGAGATGGCCGCCATCCGTCAGCTTGCGCTTGGTTTGAAAAAGGCTTGTCTCGCTGGCAAGCAAACTGTTATTTAAGTACACAATCCACTCTACTACTGAAACAGTTTTGCCAAACTTATCCAAGTATTCTCACATGCTTAAAGATGGTATAAATATCATTTATTGCTAGCAGTTTTCTTCAGACTATATGGAATGTCTTCCTGCTGCCTGATCTAAGTGTCCCAGTTTACATTATGGCCTTTACTGCCTCTGTTTGATGGAGTGATCAGTAAAAATTTAATGACACTATAAAATAATAAAAATGTCATTAATTTACCACGGATCTTGGATGCAGTGGTTGTAAAGTTACATTAATAAACAGAATATTTTTTACAACAAAAAGCATTGTTACGTGGGAACGTATAAATAACACACATAAATTTAAGAGCAATTTTACTGTTAGCACACACATTATTATGGAATAGCCAATAAGTGTATAAAACATAGTATATAAAATTTTATTAAAATATACTGTGCACATCAAAAATTCAGCTTTTATCTAAGTGCAAAGAAAAGCCATTATTGTGTGCTTACTGTTTCATTGCTGTTCTCTCCCCAGATCACAATTTTACATTTGTTGCCAGTAAGAGGAAGTTGGTTTTTTTTTCTCCTAGATGAAAACAAACCTCTGTTCCTTTAGTTACCCCAAATCCATTCTTTCTGTCCACCGATGCAAAGATGCAAAGGCATAATTAATCAATCTTGCCATGGTAGAGAGGGAAAAGTTGCTAATTTAATGCAAAGTTAAAAATAATGCCTGAGGAGTTGAATGGTTTGTTCAGTGACTCTGGAAAAAAGGGATAATAATGCAGTAGTCTATCTGTCATCAGTGAGGCTGCCCGTCATTGACTCTGATAATATGTGAAGATGATGGATGCCACCATCTTGTGGCTTGTAACATTTAACATTCATCAGCTCTCACTAAAGGGGGCTTTATCATTTAAATATCTTTATTTAATATGCAACATCTACCTCATACATCATAATTTCAAAGCACTTAGAGAGCCAACAGTCCTACAACACAGCAGAGCTGACTTTAATTTTTTTCAATAACTTTTATGTCGGCTGCATGTTTGTGACTGACAATGCATAAGTAAGTGTCTGATCACATTGCTGCATGTAAAATGCAGATTTCACTGTCAACATGAAAATTGGGGAACTTTTCTGGGAGCAGGAGTTGGAATTAAGTTAGCATTGTGGTATTTTGCTTATTATCTCCAAAATATCTTGCTTGAGAGATATGCTCATAGAGCTGGTTCAAGTGTGTGGGGAAAATTTGGACTTAAAAACTTGCCACCTCCAATCTATATTTGTTCCATGTAGGAGCATACTCATTGGCACTTAATGGTCAGAAGTTTAAGTTTGCAACTAAGTGTTTGTACTTTGCTCTCTGTGCCCATATCCACATCTTGAATTTACAAGGTTCATGTTCAACCTCCCTGTTAAAACCTCTGCTTAGCTCAGCTGCCCAGACCTAACTTGTAGACATCAGGCCCTCTTATCTTATGGTTATGTGGCTGGCAAATAAATATTCTGAGCTATTCTTTGAAGACAAGAAAGAAGTCTTCTGGGAGACTAGGTGGAAATTTATATGAAAGAGCATGGCTTTGCAGGGTCCTTCTTTAATGTCAAACACAAGTGCCTAATATTACCAAATTTAAAATGCAACCCACTGCCCCAAACAATTTTTGTCATTGATTTATTTTCTGCCTATTTAACTAGTGTTTCATGAGATATTCTTTCTTGACTTCTGGTCTGTCAAAATATTGATATTTTATAAGGGAAAGAAGAATTTTTTTTTCAATGAAGTCAGAAAAATGTATGACTTCAAAGACACTGTGAATGTGTTGTTGAATGTTCTGAATGTTTTTTGTTATGATTAAAAACAAGCTGATACTACTGAATTGTGAGTGCACTTCATTTTTATAAAAGAAAAGATATTATCATCATGTAAGCTTTGTTGTCTTAGGATTTTACAAACCATGGCATGTAATTTTCCCTCTTCTCCTTCCTTGTCAAAATATTGATATTCTTTCAGGAACTTTATTTTTTTTTTACTGAGAATATTTTCCGGTAAAATCAAAGAGAATGAATGACTAGAAAGATACTTGAAATATGCATATTGATAGGTAGCACGGTCTGTTGATTTTCAGAGAAAGTTGTTTTTCCCCCCATGAAAATACAGTTAAAGGTTGTTCTTCCAAGAAGATTGCAGGTGTCACAGCAAAACTCGGTCTGCATTTAACAGAGGGAAAGCATTCACATGCAAATATTTGAAATGTGAAACAATGCCATAAAACAAAGGTTGAATATTTTGCTTTCCCTGGTTCTACTCATCTTCACTTTAATTCTTTTTCTTTACATCATGACAACCAAAAGTGCTACTCAAAGATAGAAATTGGCTGATTAAAAGCAGCTGTCCTTCCCCTGACAATGTGTGAAACTCCCACATGGGCTTGTGGTTGCTTTTTGTTGTGTACTGCTTCTGGGTTAATGTGTTCCTGTGTAACAGTGTTTTCACATAAGATATTAGGGAAACATACTAAATTTGGGTTTTATTTTTATTCCTTTTTAAAAAAAATAAGTGATATATTTCGTAGGTTTCCCCTTATTTGCTATTGAAACTTATAGCTGGGGAAATTCATGGTTTATGTTGCAAAATCTTCCATAGAAATGGCGCAAGATTAAGGCAAGGTTTATGCCGTGTTTTATTCCAACACAGATTTCAGCACATTCCATGAAAAAGGGGAAGTGGAAGACTTCCTGCACAAGCTGACTGATGGGAATTAATTATAGAAATATAATGATATTCAAAAATAATCATATTAGAAAGCACAAATGTAGTGAGACTGTACAAATGAGGCACAGCCTCTATCAAGTAATTGTATGTTTGCTCTTTAAGAATATTTCCAAGTTTCTAAACATCTTAGAGATGAGAACACTCGGAGTGTTTCCATCTAATGCCGAACATGCTCAGTACAGAACTAGGTCATTGAACAATAGGCTGAACAGCAATCAGCACTCTACTGCTGCATAATGCATTAAGTATAACATGCAGAAACCATTCCCGGAGCTGGAAGCTGCTATTTCATGTCTGTAAATTCAAGCTGACATGACATTTAATATTGTTTCATAGTAATGAACAACAAGGTTTCATTCATTCATAAGCATAACACAAAGCCAAGTTTAAGTCTGGAGAGTAGCAAGAAAACGAGAGGGGAACACGCGCTGTGTTTGTGCCGACAAGAACACCATATTAATGATGGTCAGTGAGCCCTTGGCTACTGATCCAGAGAGCTGCAAAGCTCCATTCACTGTGATGCCTCAGACTCCGGCTCCTAGAAGAACTGGTGAACAAGTAAAACATCTCTGAGTTTCCCTCCTAAAGCAGCAGGGCTGTTTCACTCTCCCGGCTCAATGGCTGACCAGGAGTGATGTCCTCCTTTTCAGTTTCCAGGAAGTCATAGCCAAAACTCCTAGGTAAAAAGAATAATATCAGTGCCATCACCCAGTCTACCTGCTTTGAGATATTTATTTCCAAAATCCTTATGCATAAAATTCTAACTTGTATTTCCTCTGGAATACGAATACCAACTATAATCTCTAAATGGGAAAAGTCCTTTGCCGTGCCATGTAGCAGTGTATTTTAGTAGAAACAATTCTTTTAAGTTTTCGCTCGTTGGGCTCAATCTTCTCTGTTGCATCCTTTAAGATTACTGGAGCAAATCCAGCAGAGGTACAGGGCTCCCTTCCTCACAGGTGCTGTGGTCTAGATGCCTTCAGCACTGTCAGTGCCAGCAACAAGCTGAAGGAGCAGGCTCTTCCCAAAAGACGTGCAGAGCCCATGGAGGGTCAGAGATGATGTTTGTAAACCCCGGTTTTGCCCACGAAGCAAGGCAGAAACTGAAAGGAAACAGTGGCTGCCTTGGAAGCTAGAATAAGCCTGTGATTACTCTTTCCTCTAGGAAAGAACACGTTTTGAAAATTTGGGGCCCCAGTTGACAGGAAAGTCCAGTGAAGACGGAAAGCTGGGCCCCGGTGTCATCGACCTCACTCGGCCGGAAGATGCAGAGGGTGAGTGGCTCTTCTGTGGCTCTTTTCTGCTGCTACATGTGTTTCCCGAGATGTGTCTGGGTCAGATGGAAGGGCATTGCGATCTTTCTTAGAAGTCCTTAGCTCGATTTCCCAGGCAGTGCAGAGGAAATATTAGTCTTCATTATACATTGTAGTTTAGGACTTTGTGAATCGGCTAGATCATCTGTGACAGCACAGAACAGCAATCCAAATGCTTCTGAAAATAAAGGAATCCTCTACATGCCAGTGAACAAGAGAATGTTGTGTTTCACCTCCTTCGTGCATTCTTGTTTAAAAGAGAATTTAGAAAGGGTGCCCTTATAAAAACAATTGCAAATCAAGTGGTTCCCAGGTGCAAGCAAACCATGCTGGAGCTGGAATAAATGAAGATTTGCCACAGATCTCATATAAGCTTGATCGTTGCTTGGGAAAGGCCAAGCACCAACCACTCCCGGGGCCTCTGGGAAGTCTGGGTGGGAAGAACAGCCATGCTCTGAGAATGTCCACCCACAGCACTATCAGCGCCTGTCCGCTTCCCTTCCTTTTCTGTTTGTTTGTCTTAAATGCACAAGCAGCACATCAGCAGAAATTGCTCCCCAGGGGCTGGGTACAATTTATGGGTTAGGTCAGCACTTCGGTAGTAATGTTGCCTGGTTATTTACTGTGTCATCACAGAGTAGGGACTGGTTTTCCCGTTAGCTGTTTCTTTGGCAGAATCTGCCCCACCAGTCAGGGAAGATTAATTTGTTCTCTTTGGAGTAACATGATACTTCACCCATCTCAGGTCCCTGCTAAAGTCCTTTTTTAGCTTGAGGGGGAAGAATCTTACCAGTATCCCTTTTACTGGCAGGATTTCTTCCAGGACCCTAATCCTCTGAAAACACATGAAGACTTTTCATAGCAGCATCTGAACTGGGCATGGCTTCTGGTGATAGCTTAGGGCCACCCCAGGCAGTTCAGAAATCCCTGGCATGAGCACTGAGAGGTGGTTAGTGTCCGATGTTAGGAAGCACTTGGGAGAGTTTCCAGAAGGCAGACTTTTTGTGCCAGTAGGAGACTGATGTTTGCCTATAGTCCTAGGGATAAGGTATGAAAATATATTCTGATTGGGATATTGGGGGGGGGGGGCACGTGTGTGTGTGTGTGTGTGTGTGTGCATGAGAGAGAGAGAGATGGTAGGAAAGAAGAGGAAGAGAAAGAGGAAGGGAGGAATAAAGAGGACTTGAAACCAGAAATGTGCTTGCTGTTTTCCCTGAAGAGTGTGCACCAAGAGCATGGGACATTTTTGTAGGCACTCAGAAGTCCTGCTCTTCCACTACTGCAGTTTGAGAGTCCCCTGCCTAGGGAGCCAGGGAGTTCAAATGAGAGAACTCACAGGGTTCACCACCCTACTGCAACCCAGACCACCCGACCCCAAAGTCTGTGAGGAAGGGCTTTAGCTCTGACCCATCTCAATTTTGCTGGAAGGTGACATCTAAACTATACCAATCTTGGACTACATTTAATGAAATAAATATTTTTCGCCACTTTGGAGGATTCAGTCTGTTCATGTAGCCACAGACTAGGCGTTACAGAGCTCTGGAACCTTACTCTTGCTCTACCAGACTTTGCTGAATCTGTCATTCACTCCTTTTCATTTGGTTTCTTATCTGTCTCAGGTATGAATACGTGTTTAGTCAGTTACCTCTCAGTAATGCTGCTAATCTACTTCATGATATGTACGCAGCAAGTTAAAAACCATAGTGATTAATCATTATACAAGGGAAAAAATAAAATTTAACTATAGAGAAGCATATTTTATTTCTTTGGAATTCTAGCCCATATACAAATTGCCTAGATTCAAACCAATTTTCCTAGCTAATTTTTGTTAGCATACAAAAATCAACCAATAGGCCAGAGAATATGTTAAGCTTTTGGCACACATTTTCTTGTTTATTCCTTAAATACTTCATGAAGAAAGTATTCTTATTTTTCTCCACTTTACAGATGAGAACACTGAGGCTAAGAGTAAGTAAGTGACTTGCTATAAGCCACAGAATTAGTAAGGATAAACCTGAGATTTGACCAGCCCCAACTGTCAGCCTGCTACACTCAACCCTGCATATACAGATAAATAGGTGGTGCCTTCATTTTTCTGAACAAACTTCTTATGACCTTCTTCAGTATGGCCCATTTCCTCTCCCCTAAATATAGCAAGTCACGCCGTACACCAGGTCTCATGTTACTCTGTCATACACAGCAGCGATGGCTGATGAGTGTAATAGTAGAAGGGCTGTAGTGGCCCAGGAGCTTAAGGAGCGTGTGAAAACCTCCCTTCAGAAGCTTGCCCAGAGTTGCCATTGAGACCTCATGTGTTTTTGGGGGACTCTGAGTTCATGAATGGAATCAAGTTACCTGCTCTAATAGGGACAGAAGCACAGTGCCTTTGTGAGGACTGGCCAGGATGGGTAGCAGGCTTCTGCTGAGTGTGGGATATTTCCTGGCATCTGTTCAAGTGTGAGCTGATTGCAAAGCCTGCTGGAGTTAGAGTTCATGTTAAAGTCTGGGTAGATAACAGGTACATGGAATGCTTTGTCTACCTTGCTCCTTCGTATTTCCCTTAAAAGGAGGATTAAGAGGGGACTGAAGTATCAGAATAACTAACACAGGAATTGCTTCTTCATTCAGTTTGTGAAACAAAAAAACAACCAGCCAACCAATCAGTATTTCTCGAGTGCCTACAGTGTGCTGGTCCCTGAACTAGACCCTGGATAAATCATGTGAAGCAACACAGATGTCCTTGACCTCCTTGAGCTTATAGTCAGGTGAGGGAAGGCAGAAGGCTAAAGGGGATTACACACGCATACACGCATACGTACAAACAGTTATCATTCAGAAAAGTGCTAAGAACTCTATTGTGCTCTGCAGAGAATGGAGGGTGAGATCGCCCTAGGGAAGTCAAGTTGACAGGTGAGTCCCACACTCTTGCTCAGAGTGTCTTCCCCTCCAGTCCACACATGATCATCTCTGTGATTCCCCTGGCTTCGGAATAATAATTTCAAGCAACTTTGCACTACCTCTATTTCTACCCCATCCTCCTATGTGGTTCTGAAGTCGCTAAAGGAACTCAGGCTCAGTAGATGAGGTCCCTGTTCCAGCCAAGTTTCCCAGGAAAAAAAAAAAGTTTGCCAGCCTTGAAAATGACAATATCCCTTAGTAAGCAACTTTCAGACCTGCTTCGTAGCCCTGGACACGGAGGCAGCGAAGAAAAGGTCACCAAAAGAGGCAGCTGTGCATACGTATTAGCCACTCATCAAAATCAAATGACAAAACCATAAGCAAGGAAAACAGAAATTAAAAATATAAAAGGCAAATGCCTTCAAAATTTTATTTTTAAAGTCCAGCTGTTATTTGGCTTGAATGTGACAAGACAGCATTTCTTGTTCACCATGATATTTATAAAACTACAAATTCATTTCACTGGGGACTTAGGAAACATGTTTAAGGTCTTGTTACACTTCAAGCAGTCAAAGGCTTCACATGTATTGAGAACACAAAATCTGCTAGCTCCTATGTAGGGTGTGTAAGGAAGAGAAGTCTTGATTCCTTGAGTCTGTCAGCATGCGTTAAGAGTAATGAACAGCTGTTGAACTTTTCCTGGACTTTCTGTATGGCACTTCCCCTCTCCGTGTTCTGCTCAGGCGAGTATGTAATTCTTTTCCCAACTCTGAATTTCAAGGTTGCACTGAAGAATAGAAAGGGCTCCAGTCTGGTTACTGGGAGATTTAGATTAACGTTCCTTTGCTAAATGACTGAAAACAAGTGCTTAATGCCTCTGGGCTTAAGTTCCTTTATCTTTTCGAAGAGGCGTGTTGGGTTTGATTATCTTTAAGTCCCCTTCCATATGCAAGATTGTTTTTAGCATCTTCATAAAACACTGAGTATATTCTTATAAGAAAAGTGATGTATCCACAATAGGTTTCATGTAGTTTTTTTCTATATAAAAGGGGAAATACGTTAGAAAAGGTACAAGTATGTGGACCACTTGCTGATTTTTCATTTTACTTGAACTTTTTGTTTTAGTAATGAGAATATCTCTCCACTGCTATTCTCTTATCTTTCACAAACTACCTTCTCTTTCTCTCCTCTCTCCTTCTCTTCCCCCAGCAAAAATAGTCATGACTTGGTTTTTAAAAATATAATTCTTTCCATTCTATTTCTTTTCATTCATATACCTGGAATTTCTAAAGGGATGCTTTCCCCCTGTTTAACAGTATGTTTCATGAAGGAAAGCATTCTTCTACAACCTTTCAAATTTTCACATTCAATTATTGTGTCCCAGCTCAGAGGGAAGCTGTACCTAATGTTGATGTGGGGAACGGTAGAGCATGAGCTTATCATGTAGAGATGAGCTCTTAAAGTAATTATTTTGGGCCAGATTTTTGGAACCTGGATTAGAGCTGGAACAACATGCTGTCCTCTATGTATTAAAAACTTGCATTGATTTGAATGAAAATGGATGTATACACCAAGAATACCCTCTTGTAGGACTCTTGTTATCAGACTTTTGTTTAGAAGCCTTTTATAGATTTATACTAAATTTTTTAATTGGATCCCAGCCAAGATGACCTTACCTATCTGAAAACTACTTCCTTTTGGGGTGTGGGAGATGATGGAGAAGGAGCTGGGTGCTGCTGAATCTTTGATGGCTCTGAAGTGTGTTTTTTTTTTTTTTTTTTTAATCTCAGGATAGTTTTATCACAGCTTAAGCCCTCTGCTTATGGACAAATAACAGAGAATGCAATGTTTCCTCTTTTTTCCTTCAAAATGCACCACTATAAAAAAAATATATATATATGTATATCCTCTCTTCCTCTCTTAAAAATCCTTCTTATCCTTTGATCCATACTCAGGGAAGTCTTTGAAGTTGTTCTCAGTTCCCCCTGTCCTCCCTGGATCCTTGCTCCTTGTGGAAAAAGAAGATTGACTCTGTGACACATGGCTCATTCAAGGCAGCAGAG